TTATCTCGTCCTTGTCCTGCAGCCAGTGTCCTGCGAGTCTCCCGCATTCCGTCTGCAGACATATGTAACCCTCGCTCCGTCATCGCCCCCCTTACAAAGTGTCCTAAACTATTTGTGCCCCGCGCTTGCACAGGGGTGGGGTACGTCGCCAGGGTAAATTTTCGTCCAAGGCCCGCCTGTCGGAGGACATGCCCAACCTAAGGGGAGGGGCAGGGGGTACCCATCGGTCGGAAGAAGTAGGTAGAAACATGAAGTAGGAAGGCGTTGGAAATACATTGGGTTTCCGTCCGCCTCCTGAAGAGGAAGCAAGAGGGAAAACCACTCGACTCTTGAAGTAGGAAGGCGCTGAAAGTAGATTGGAATCTGGGAATCCAAAAATACCTACTTTCAACGACCGATGGGTACAGTTAACCCGTATCAGAAGGACGCACGATGAGGATGCAAGGGCCTTGGGAGGCCACGTCGAAGCTCTGCGAGCGGGGCGCGGCCGGCGAGAGCGGCCAAGGAGGGGCCGAGGAGGCAAGGCTGCAAGGGTACTCCAGATTTCGTAATAAAAGGGAGGAGGTCTCATTTCGGGGGGGGCCTCTTCCAGGCCATCTTGGAGGGCCTGGGGGGGTCTGGGGACGATGTTTTGGAGGGTTCTCCCACGGGGGGGGTCTAAAACTTCTCGTCTGGGAGGGTTGAGACCCCCTCACTTTTATTACGAAATCTGGAGTACCCTTGGGAAGGCTGCCCGTCCTTACTATTCGGGCTGACTGCAGGGGGAAGGGGGATACCTAGGCCAGACGAACGTCCTGCAAGAAACCCTCCGCCGGCCAAAACACACAGAACATCCCAGGGTGCCCTCCCAAGGATGCACAAGAACATCCAGCAAACGCGTGGGCGGCGATGAAAACCGGGTCTTACGCGAGATAACGTAGCGACCTGGCGCGGTGACTTACGCGGGCCGCCCGCGCGGCACGCCACAGTTGACGCGAAGGCTCTTGCGCGCGACCTTACGCGAGGAGCTTGCGCGCGACTGTCGGCACCGACGAACCCTTTTTCTGCCTCGCTCAGTTGGCGGCGCGCACAAAGAAGGCGCGCAGGCCTGACATCTACAGACAAGGCCCGCACCGTCTCAGCAGCAGGGGTGCTCCTAAGGAGCCTGTCCCCATCCCCCCCCCTCTGCGCGTAGCCGACCCATCGCCGTGAAGAGAAGCTCGGCGGCGGGTTTGGGCTGCAGTACAGCCAAAACTGATTGTGAGAAGGCCCGACAAGTAGCCGCGCCGCTTGTTCTCGACGTGCCCGAATGGACGACGCCAGCACCACGGCAAACGCACGGCAGGCCCTGCGTCCCGCGCCCTGGGTGGACGCAGCCGGCACCGCGGCAAACCCCACGGCAAGCCCAACGCGTCCGAGGCGGTGCTTGCCTGGGTGGCCGAGGCGCCCTTTCCAAGACGGAAGGCCGCGCGTCGGAACTCACGCCGCGGGCATCTGGCTGCAGCGCAGTCAAGACTTCCAGACCCACTCGCGCTGTCAAACAATCACGGCTGGATTTTTTTTTGTTTTTTTTGTCATTTTCGGCCTCTGGGGGCCCCTACTGGGCCCAAGGAGCGTCAAACAACCCCTCGGGAGGAAAATCCGGTTCCGGGGAAGGGGTCGGGACGTCGACGTCGTGAACAACTTACCACGTCGGGGGGCCGGGAAGGATGCGAGCTCCTTGGGCGCCCATGCCGAGGCTTTTCGCGTGTGGCTGGCCATCGAGAGGGGTCCTGATGCACCTCCTCCTCCACCTCCTCCTCTCCTCCTCGTCTTCCTCCTCCTCCTCCTCCTCCTCCTCCTCCTCCTCCTCCTCCTCCTCCTCATCATCATCATCATCATCATCATCATCATCATCATCATCATCATCCTCTTCCTCGTGGTACCCTTGGGAAGGCTGCCCATCCTTACTATCGGTTTCGACTGCTTGCTGCATCCCGGCACGACGCGACATGGTTCAGGCGGCCTTCTCAGAAGGTCGCGGGTCTTGGGCTACGTTTCGGCCTCCAAGGGCCCTCGCTGGGCCCCGGGACAGTCACATTAGCATGGGGGAAGCGGGTCCTGAAGGAAACGGGTCCTGAACCCTGGAGCCTTCCCCCAGGGCCACTTCTTCCTCCTGAGTCGATCTCTGACAGTCGTGGGGCCCGTGGGGGGCCCCGAGAAGAGCCCGAATACGGCGACAAACCTCAGGACCCGTTTCCCTCGGGGCCCGCGGCGATCGCAGCACGGCTCGGGACGAAAGGCTGGTCTCGGGGGGAGGGGGTCCAGACGTCTGGGGGAGGAGTAGGAGGAGGAGGAGGAGGAGGAGGAGGAGGAGGAGGAGGAGGAGGAGGAGGAGGAGGAGGAGGAGAGTGAGGAGGAGGAGGAAGAAGAAGATGAGGATGAGGAGGAGGACGAGGAGGAGGAGGAGGAGGAGGAGGAGGAGGAGGAGGAGGAGGAGGATGCTTGGGGAAGGGGGCGGCGCGAGAGGAGGTTGCCCCCTGAGAAGGCATGGCGGTGGGGGCTGCCTCCAGACCGGCCAGGGCAGCACACAAAAGAGACCCCGGCCCTGCAGAGGCCTGCAGGCCCCCCAGGCTCCTGTTGTCCCCATCGTACTTAAGGACCACATCCCAGAAGAAAATTCAAGCACCCAGAGAAATATCGAAACAGTGTCGAAATATTATTTCCCAGGGCCTGACACGCGAAAGCCCTGCAGTTCCGGTACTTCCTTGGTGCTCGAAGCTCTTTTTGGTGATCAAGGCGACAACAAAATAGGTTGAACATCGCCACCGAAACTAGGGCCGAGTCCTTGGGCACCTGGACTTCCATAGCGGGCCCGTGGGCATTCAACTCTGAAGCGGAGCTCCACATTGGAGATGATGCACGTCCCTTGCATTTGCCGCTGGAGCGCTTTCCCTTGCCATTGATACTGCCCCCTTAAAGGATAATGACAATTTGGTCGTCGTCGGTCACTTGGGCCAGGAAGCTGTGCTTCTGAGCTTCCTTTCCCGTGTGTGTCCCTTGCTTTTGAAAGATCGTCCAATCGTCTTGATGAATCGTCTGATGTTTCTCTGGTGGGCCTGATCACATATCGTCGCCATTGTTGTGTGGTGCTTGATCTGCCGGGCAAGCTGGGCGTCGATCTGGGCTGGGGATATGTCTATGAACTGCTCTGATGCATAATCGATATTGGTGTCATTTGCGCCCCCGGCGTAGGCGCGGGCATCGTCGTCGAGCTGCTGCGCGGCGGCGGCGGCAAGGGGCGCTGCCTGCGGCGGTGCCGCGCTCTGATAAGAGCTGCTGGCATGGGGGAAAGCGCCTCCGGCGCCGGGGGTGTCGGTGACGCTCGCGGCCCAGGAGTCCATCCCCTGTTCGTTGCGAACAACGAGTCAACTGAGTGCGCGCCGTGGCGGTTGCTGCTGTCGTTGGTCATTCCTACGAAGCCTCGGAAAGATGCACGCGGCAGGCGTTTGCGATGTTGCCAGGTGCGTGCTCCAAGCTATGTCCCACGCGTTGGAGCGTCGTCGAGAGACCGTTGAACTCTTCCTCGGCTGCTGGGATCTGTTGCCGCGGGGCTGGAGCAGCGCGATGAGTTGGCTGGCCGTGACGCCAACCGCTCGAAGGAGCAGCCAGCTGTAGCCTTCCCATGACATCTCAGCTCCACCTTTGTGCGTCGATCAGAATCGCGGTGTGGGGAACCGCAAAAACAACGCGTCGGTGGCCTCGTTGCGCCGCTTCGAAATCTCGATGAGTTCCCGTGCAGCTTGCAAACGTGACTCTTCGCCTAGTGGTCCGAACTGACGACTGGTGAACTTCGCGATGAGGTAGGTGACGGCGTCTTCGGGTTGGGGATGATGATGATGAGGAGGAGGAGGATGAGGCGGAGGAAGAGGAGGAGGAGGAGGAGCAGGAAAAGGATGCGGGAGAGGCGGGAAGTTCGCACGAACAATTCTCTGTTGTAGGAGGAGTAATCGGAGAAGGGAGAAGACGTAGAGTAGGAGCAGACAGGACGAGGAGGATGCCGGAAGGAAGGAAGGAAGGAAGAGAGAGGAATGGAGACAACAACGCTCCATTCATGACGAGCACCCAACACAGGAGGGTTGGGAACAAGAAGCTGCACAAGCATAAATTCTCGGCGCTCCGCGCAGATTTCCTGGATTTGCGCGCCAACGGCGGCGCCGTAATCTGGCGTCGGCAGGGGGAGGGGCCAGCGCGGACCCTCGTAAGCCTATCTCCATGGTGCTCTTTCCTCCGCCGAGCGGAAAACAAATCTTACCTTCGGAGATCTTCGAATCCAAGAAATTGTGGCCCCGGGTAATAGTGACCTCTGGTGCGCAGCCTTCTTGGGGGATCGCGGGGGGGGGCCAAGCACGAGCACGCAAGAGGCGCTGCTACCGCATCGCGCTCGGCGACCGGGGGACCCGACTGAGCCCGCACCAAGGGTCACCCCGGCGAAGGGTCACTCTTGCGCGTAGTCTTAGGTCGGGCATGTCCCCCTACAGACGGATTTTGGAGGTAGTAAAATGAGAAATTGGCAAAACGCATTCAAAACTTACCAAAATTAGTCGAAACATCGTCGCCCGACCACCATGCTACTATTTTTCAAAACTCCCTCCTCCTGTAGAGGGACGTGCCCGACTGAAAGTGTGGTCGAGATCTGAGCTCTCAGGAGGCCCTCCCTCCCCCTCGCCCCGCCCTGCCCCGTGCGCGCCGCCGGGGGCGCCTCCCCGGCGACCCCCTCGCTGGCCGCGCCGCGGCGGCGGCGGCCTCGCCGGCGCCGCTCCAGAAGCCGTCGGCGGACCTCGCCGCCTGCGCGGCCCCGGCGGGCCGCCACGTGCCGGCGCTCGCGCTGGGCGCGGCGGCGGCCTCGCCGGCGCCGCTCCAGAAGCCGCCCTCGGCGGACCTCGCCGCCTGCGAGGCCCCGACGGGCCGCCAGGTGCCAGCGGCCGCGCCGTCGAGCGTCGGGGTGCTTCGCCGCTGGTGCGCCGAGGGCGCGCGCTGCGCGGCGGCCTCCCCGCGGCCCGCGGCAGGCCGGGCGGCCCTGGACCTGGCGCCCGCGGGAGAGGTCCGCGTGCCCGTGGGCTCCACGAGGTCCTCCTCCGCATCCTCGAGCAGCTGCGGGGACGCGGACCTGGCGGCCATGAGCCCCCCGGACACCAGCGACATCCTCCTCCCCGAGACCAGGGACGCTCGCCGGGCCGGCATCCCCGACTCCGCGGCGGAGGGCGAGTTCCGCGCGGAGCCCATGAAGGCGGCTGCGAACGGCGAAACGGTGGCAAGACCCTGGCGGGGCGCCTGCGGCACGTCCGACTCACCACTGTCCTCCACGCCGCTGTGCGCGTCGGCCCGGGCCTCGGCATCCATGTGCACATGCTGGAAGACGCTCGACGCGCGTCCCGCCTTGGCCGCATGCCGAATCGCCCTGGTCAGGGCCCGCTGCGCAGAATGCGACCCAGAGCCTCCCGCTCCCGCGCCGTGCTCGAGCTGCGCGAGGCGGGCCGTCAGCTGCTGGACCTGATCTCTCAAGTCTTCGTTTTCCTGCCTCATCCGGCCGATCTCCTATCCGTGATCCTCAGAACGTGCGTTAGCGCCCAATTGTACCTGTCCACCGAAGCCCTTCTGTAGGTCTCGAGCGGGTGGCAATGGGGGGTGACCTAAATGGGGGGTGGAGACAGGGCCCTAAAGGGGCCCTTGTCTTCAGCCCCCTTCTAGGTCACCCCCCCATTACCATCCGTCCGAACGACGCAGGCGGTCTTACGAGGCCTGGCGCAAGTTAGCTGTCATCTGCTGAACTGAACGGCTCAATCGACAGATTGTGCCAACACGCGTTCTGAGGACCACCGATCCTCATGGTCGGGCAGGGTGGCCTCGCCGTGCTCGGACAGACTCTCGCCCATCTCCTGCAGGGGAGCAAGAAGATGCCGATGCGCCGCCGCTACTCGTGCCTCTCCCGAGGCGCGTTCTGACCAGGGCATCGAGGAGTCTGGCTGTGGCGGCGAGGGCCCTCCTGGATCAGCAGCGGCATTGGTACCTCCACTGAGATCCGATACGTAGCACCCCGCAATTGCGGATAAGAGTGAGGGGGCGGGCGCGGGCGACGCGGGCGTCGAGCCGGCGGACCTCGTGGCCCTTACGTTCCCTGTCGATGGCGCCCTCTTCCTCCTCCTCCTCCTCCTTCTCCTCCTGCTCCTCCTCCTCCTCCTCCTCCTCTTCCTCGTCCGCGTCATCGTCCTCATCGTCGTCGTCGTCGTCGTCGTCGTCGTCGTCGTCGTCGTCGTCGTCGTCGTCGTCGTCCGCCTCCTCCTCCTCCTCCTCCTCCTCCTCCTCCTTTTCCTCCTCCTCCTCCTTCACCTCCTCCTCCTCTTCCTCCCCCATCCCGATCCTCCCCCCTCTTCCTTTCCGTCGTCGTCGTCCTCCTCCTCCTCCCCCTCCTCCCTCCTTTCTTGTCGTCCCCCTCCGTCCCCCCCTCCGTTTCCTCCCCGCCCTCGTCGTCGGCCTCCTCTTCGTCCTCGAACTCGTACTCGTTGTCGTCGTCGTCGTCGTCGTCGTCTTCCTTCTCCTGCTCCTCGCCCTGCTCCTCCTCCCCTCCTCCGCGGAGCGCGCGCGCGCGCCGGGAGGGTGGGTCGCGGACTTGTTCAGTGAACGTAATTTAGGTCGCGGGTGGGTCGAGGGCTCTTCACCTCCACCTGGAAGGAATTCAAAAACAGCCCGCCGCAGGCGCCGAAAATTTTGATTTGTACACTGAACGCGGTTTGGGTCGCGGGTGGGTCGCAGGTTCTCCAGTTGGAACTAATGCAAAAGAAGCCCGCCGCAGGCGCCGAAAATTGTGGGTGGGTCGCGGGGTGGGTCGCGGGCGCGGTTTGGCTCGCGGGCGGGTCGCAGGTTCTCCACCTGGAACGAATGCAAAAAAAACCCGGCGCAAGCGCCGAAAATTTTGGGTGGGTCGCGGGGTGGGTCGCGGGTGGGTCGCGGTGGGTCGCGGGTGGGTCGCGGGTGGGTCGCGGGTGGGTCGCGGGTGGGTCGCGGGTGGGTCGCGGGGTGGGTCGCGGGTGGGTCGCGGGTGGGTTCGCTGGTGGGTCGCGGGTGGGTCGCCAGGGAGGTCTCGGGGTGGGTCGCGGGCGGGTCGCGAGGTGGGTCGCGGGTGGGTCGCGGGGTGGGTCGCGGGTGGGTCGCGGGGTGGGTCACAGGTGGGTCGCGGCTGGGTCGCGGGGTGGGTCGCGGGTGGGTCGCGGGGCGGGTCGCGGGTGGGACGACGACAACAACAAACAACAAACAACAAACAACAAACAACAACAAGAATCCGCATCGCGGAATTTCACTTCAGCCACGCACCCAGGGACAGTGGATGACCGTTCGGTTCAGCCCCCTCACTCTGATTACGAAAAGCGGCAGCGTCGCGAAAAATCACGCCTGGGGCCCTGGACCCCGCCATTCTGCGCAACTTTTCGAGCCAGACCGACCTGTGATGGCCCCGGGGGCCCGAGACTAGGCGATACCGCCTGGCGCGAAAGAATGGCAACGCCCGGATCTGAGGTGACTACCTACCAGACCACCCCAACCTAACCCGAAGTCCCAAATTTCGGGATGGGGGGGGGGACGGGTTCCATCTGTGTTTCCTCGTATTGTTCCCGGATGCGCCTCCCAACTGGGAGTGGAGAGCAACCTGTGGCCTCTGGGTTGGGTTGGGGTGGTTTGGTGGGTAGTGATGAATTGGATGCTCATTCTGGGGACCTTCCTGGAGCCAGTCGCTCCACTCGTGCGTCGAAGCTACGTCCAACGTCCGTAGACTCGAGTCGAGCTTGAGTCGAACCTGGGTCGAACCCGAGTCGAACCTGAATCGAACTTGAGTCGATCTTGAATCGACCTTGAATCGAGCAACAGATCTGTTAGGTGGGCCCCGGGAGAGCCCCCCAAACGAGCACCGAAGATGAGGGCCTTCTTCCCGTCGGATCGCCTGCGCCTTCTTTTTTAACAGCTTCAGAGACAGCAAGCCGCCGATCTTCGGGCTGACGTCGTCCCCGCCCGTGCCGGCCGCCGCGTCCGTGCCCCCCGCCGCCTCGCCGCCACCCTCGGCCTCGCCGCCCCGGCCGTGCTGCAAGGTGAACTTCTGGAGGGCGTCGTGGAAGCGGCTCCTCGGCATCGGCTGCAGACGCCCAGGGACCCCGGGACCGTCAAACACCGGCTCGGGACGAAAAACTGGTCATGGGGAAGGGGTCGAGACATCTGGTGGGCGACGTTGTGAACAAAGCATGGCGTCGGGTGTCTGGGCAAATAGCACCGCCGCTCTCATCTGATAAGGGACCCTCTGGGGTCTGATGCCTCCTGGCCGCATTCCTTAAGCAACGCCCCCACTGTATCCGACGATCTGATGTAGTCAGTCCCAGTGGTTGTGCTCGTCTTCGCCCTCTGGGCCCCGCTGCTATCGGGCCCCAGGACCGTCACGAAAAGATCAGTGGCGAAAAACTGGCCCCAGGAAACGGGGGTATATGTGGAGGCGCGCATGGAAAAAACACGCGAACTCCGAGGTCTGGTATCGACCGATCCCCATCCCCACTGGCATGGCCTTGGCCCCGCTGGCCGACTTGCGCCTCCCAGGGGGGATGTGTGCGGCTCCCTGAGGGCCTCGCGGGGCTGTACGTCCCCGCCCGGGGGGCTGGGTGGGCTGGCAGGGCCCGGGAGGCCATGGCCAGGTGGGGATGGGCATCGGCGAGGCGATGCCGAGTTCCTGGTCTGGCTGTGGTGCGCCTGCAGCATCCTCAGGGCCTCCGCCTGGCGAAGCGCCGCCTTGTCCTTCACGAGCTTCACGGCCTCCACGAGGCTCACCTCCTCGGACCGGGCCGCGGACTTAGCCTTCGCCCTCATGTCGAGGATGCGGCGCTGGGCGTCGTGGTACAGCCGGTCGAACGCGTTCAGCTTCTTCCGCTTCCTTATGGTAACAAGCAACGACATAAAGATAAAAAGCTCGGAGGTCTGCGCTGGACCCCTCCCTCTCTGGCGCAGGGAGCGCGCAAGGGATGGCGCTGGGGGGCTCCAGCGCCGATCCGAGGAATCCGAGTTTTCATATCAATGTCATTGTTTGGTCCCCGATTCTACTAAAGGTGCCCCTGGTCCAAGGTGCCCCCAGCTTTGCGTTTCGCTGTGGAGCCCCCTGGGCCTCGTGTGCGGAGCTCCGGAGGCCGTGGGGGCCTCCCCGGGCCAGGGGCACCTCCCGAGAAATCCGCGCGGACCTACGAGTTTTTATGTTTGTGTCATTCTTCGTTCCCCTAGCTCGATTCCTGCCCTCCAGTGGGTTCAGGTTGATCTGGTCCTTCATCTCCTCCACGAAGTCCTTGGCGCCCAGCTCCTCCAGCTTCGCCATGAGCCTCTTGACGTGCTCCTGCAGCCTCTCGTGCTCCTCGGCGAGGTCGTTGTACTTGTCGTCCTTCTCCTGGAGCTTGGCCTTGAGCTCCTCGACCTCCAGCTTGAGCGCGGCGATTTTCTCCATGTCCTTCGCGCGCTGGCCGTCGCCACCGCTGTTCATGCTCTCCAGCTCCTCCTTCAATCTTTTGATCTCTGTCTGGAGCGCTTTGATCTTCAGCTCGTACTCCTTGGCCGCCTTGGCTACAGCTTCTTTCAGGTCATCCTCGCTAGGACCAGCAACTATCGGAGCTGGTGCCGGTGCCTCTTCTGGCTTGGGCTTACATAATTTTGCTGATAGGCTCTGGAGCTGCTCCCGGAGCTGCTTGTTCTCCTTTTCCAGGGACGATATCCTCTCGCGTAGCTGCCTGGCCGCTTCCGCTTCCTTCTCGGCCAGGGCCTTATCCTTGTTGTTGCTATCACTATTGCCCTCCAGCTGCTCGATGCGGTACTTGGCCTTGGCCAGCTCCAGGGCGAGGTCCTTCTTGTCCTGCTCGAGCTGCGCGATCCTCTCCTCCGCAAGGGACAGCTTCTCCAGGGCCTCATTGAGCGAGCGCCTCTGGGTGTCCGCCAGCTCGGCAGACAGCTTCGCCTTCTTGTCCGCGCCTTCCTTGTTCTGGAGGCCCTTGCTCAGGGTCTCGATCTCGTCCTTCAGGTCGAGAATCTCCTTCTGGGCCTCCTCCAGCTGCAGCCGCACTCCTTCCGTCTTCCTCCGCTCCAGCTCCATCTCGTCCTTCGCGCGCCGCAGCGCGTCCTCCGACCGCTTGCTCTTGTCCATCTCCTTGGCATGCGCGATGCGCAGCTGCTTGGCGTCGTTCAGCGCCTGTTTCAGCGCGGCCTGCAGCTCCTCCACGTCCAGATCCTGCACCTCATTCTCGCCGCCCGCCATCTTCTTGGCGGCGCTCGCGCGAAAGCCCAGCTTCACCCTCTCCTCGACAACCTCGCGCACGAAGTCCTTGGTGGCCTCGTCCAGCACAAACTCGAGGGGCTCGTAGAACATGATGGGCTCCTCCTTGAGGTCGTGGAGCAGGTCCTTCTGCTTCTGACTGAGCTCGCGCTGCCGGTCGCGATGCTCGCTGAGCTCCCGCAGGTAGGCGCGCCGCATCTCGTTGAACTTTTTGCTCAGCTCAACGTTCGTCTGCAACAACATCTTGACCTGTCCCACGGCTTCCCGGGGGAACGGCGAGTTCTCCACGTCTTCCAGGTCCACGATGGAGTGGAGCACGTGCCCGATGACTCTCCAGACGACCTCGCAGAGCGGCTCGTAGAGTGTGGCGGGCTGGATGGGTGCCTCCGCCTTTGAGGAGCATAACTCGGCATAAAGATAACACAGAAACGTTCGGAGGTCCGCGCGCACCTCCAAAATTTATGTGTACGCAATGTATTGATTTTCGAACTGGAATTGCCGCCTGCATGATCTTGGCACGGAAGCGTTTCGCAAACAGCTGGACGATTCCGGCAATCTCCTGGTCCCCGGACAGGTACGAGCCGTACGTTGGGTTCATGTTGAGCATCCGTCTCAGGAAGACGGCGCCCGCGTCCGCCTCCTTGGCCGTGTTCATGAGCCATTTTTCCAGCTCGACAGAGGTCGGCCACTGCTCCTCCAGAGGAAACGCTCGGGTGCGCCGACAAAGGGGGGCTACGAAAGGGGGCTCGCACATCATGGCCCGACGCATGTGCGCGGACGACGGCGTGGAGGGGGCATGGAACGTATGGAAAAGAGAGTGTGCCGTGAAGTCTGCGAGATTTCACAAGCAGGGCCATGATATCCCCACATCCTGGTCCTCAGCTCACTTCCGGAGTCTCCCCAAAACGTGTACGACGCCACCAAGGCTCAAAACCGCATGGAAGAGGAGGCCGAGGAGGAGGAGGAGGATGAATCATGCCAAACCTAGTCTCGACAACTTCCCCAGGACTAGATTCTCATCCCGAGTCGTTTTCTGACGGCCCCAGGTCTGGCAGCGCCCCCCTCCACGAGGAGCCAACTTTCGGGCCATACCTCGGGGAATTGCGGCGGCTGTTCGGGACGATCCAGGACCCCCGGAAGCGCTCGTGGCGAGGCGCAGCGGCGCACCTCTGGGAACAAACGACAACGCCCGACAACCTCGCCAACAAGGGCCCAGGAACGCTGGGTTTGCATTGCAGCTGCAGCTACATCATCCACGGGACAGCACCAGACTCACGTCGCCAAGGTGCTCGTCACAATCGAATCGAGGTGGCGCTTCTCAAACACCGTGTCTCTGAGGCGAAGCTTGAAAGCCCCAGTGACAAAAAAAAACAGTGCAGTGCCACGCCACCTGTCAGAGCAGGTTGCCAACGACCCCGACCTCCGCCGACCCAGACCCCCGACGTCGTGCTTTTGTCGCAACGTCGACCCTCAGAGGTCTGGACCCTTTCCCCGGGACCAGTCCTTCATCCTGAGTCGTTGTTGGACGGCCCCGCAGGCCCGGGAAGGGTCCCTGGAGGCCGAAAATAATGAAAAGCCTGCCGTCGCGATTTTTTCACAACGCGAGGGGAGACCTCGAACGTCCTCGACAATAGTGAAAAACCTTCCGTCGCGTTTTTTTCTCAACGAGGGGGGGTCTGGGGAGACATCGAACGTCCTCGACAATAGTGACAAAAATTCCCGTCGCGACTTTTTACAGCGCGATGGGGTCTGGGGACGTGCTTGATTCAATCCGCGGGCTCAGAGTCCCGATGGCTTCCACAGGGGTAGCTTCTGGTCCCGGTTCCGCTTGTGAGGGCCTGGGGGCCCGTTAAGAGGAAGGCGCCAGAAGCCGATATCGAGGCACAACTCCGGAACCGAACGAGTCACATATCGTCGGAGATCTGGGAACAGGGTTCGGCGACGAGCGAGGGGGGGAACTGCGAAGGAGAAGGCCCTCTCAGAAGGCTTGGAAGTCCCCTGGCCTTCTGAGAAGTCTTCTACGCCTTCCCCGAAGACGCAGAACACTTCTCCGAAGGTGCGAGGGCTTCTGAGAAGTCCCGCCGCCTTCTGAGAAGGCCTTCTCCTTCTCACTTCCCCCCTGGGCGCGCCGCCGAAATCAATTTTCGGGTCGTAACTCGGATCTCCGGCGGCCGTTCGGGACGATTCGGGCACCCCCGGAACGCCCTCGGCGAGGCGCGGCCGCTGGAACGCATCCCGAGGCCGGAAAACCGCCAAGTACCTACGACAACGCCCGCAAACCTGGAACCTTTTTCGAAAACCAAGAACGCCTTCTCACTTCCCCCCCCCCTCGCCCGCCGCCGAAGGGTGGCCACCCGGACGAGCCATGTGCTGATCCGATCCTTCATGAAGCGCGCTCCCGGCCGACCGCCTCCGCTGCCGCGGCCGCAGCCCGCGCGGCCCGTGCGCCGCCGCGCGGGCCCGAGGGCCCGAGGAGGGCGCGGCCAGGGCCCGGGCAGCCTGAGCCCAAATATCGACGGGGCCGACCTTCTCCTCCTGCCCCTCCTCCTCCCCGTCCTCCTCCTCCCTCTCCTCCTCCGCCTCCTCCTCCTCCTCCTCCGCCTCCTCGTCCTCCTCTTCCTCCTCTTCATACCCCTCCTCCTCCTCCTCCTCCGCCTCCTCCTCCTCCCTCTCCTCCCCTCTTCATACCCTACTCCTCCTCTTCATACCCCTACCTCCTCCTCCTCCTCCTCCCTCCTCCTCCTCCTCCTCCTCCTCCTCCTGCTCCCATCTTCCTCCTCCTCCTCCTCCTCCTCCTCCTCCTCCCCATCTTCCTCCTCCTCTCCTCTCCTCTCCTCCTCCTCCTCCTCGTCCTCGTCCTCGTCCTCGTCCTTGTTCTCGTCCTCGTCCTCGTCGGGCTCCCCAGACCCCCTCGCGCGGCGAAAACGCACGACGGGAGGCGTTTCGCTGTGTTGGGGCCTCTGGGGACCCTCACCGTCGTGTGTTCGCTGTGTTCGGGCTCCTCGCTGTGGTCGGCTTCGCTCGCCCCCGACGATCGAAGACCTCTCAGCGAGACGCCATGGGCCAAAGCAGGAGCCCCCTCGTCGGAGCCCGGGCGGGGGCCGGCCTCCCGCCGCGCATCTCGTCGCCCTCCTCGGCTCGGGAGCCCCCGAGGGTGGCCCGGCCCGGCTTCCGGATCCCCGACACCTGGAACCCCTCGCGCTGCAAGCCAAGTCACGACGGGAGGTGCTTGGCTGTGCTCGGGCTCCGGGGGGCCTTGCTGGGCCTCGGGACCGTTCAGACACGACTCAGGATGAAGACCGGTCCTGGGGAAGGGGTCCGGACCTCTGGGGGTCGATGTTTGTTGTTTGCCCCCCCCAAGAAAAACGACTGACGTCGGGGGTCTGGTTCGGTCGCTTCTGTGAAAGCCTCCCAGATGGGATCCGAGCAGATGGGGTCGGAGGATCGAATCCCCAATGCATCGCCGATGCATCGGCCAGGCGTCGGCGATTTACCTCGATGCATCGGCGCCATCGGCGCGGAACAACTCTGGCTCCACATCGAGTCGCATCGTCGATGAACCGGCGATGCGGAGCGATCCTCTGACACCACCTACCCGGACCCTACACTTCGGAGGCGTGGAACGGTTCTCGGGGCCCAGCTACCTCGGGCCTGATGCGGACGTTCGGAACGATCCTGTGCAGACGCCGCTGGCGTTCCGAGGAGGGAGGAGGAGGAGGAGGAGGGGGAGGAGGAGGAGGAGGAGGAGGAGGAGGAGGAGGAGGAGGAGGAGGAGGAGGAGGAGGAGAAGGGGGAGGGGAGGAGGAGGGAGGGAGGAGGAGGAGGAGGAGGAGGAGGAGGAGGAGGAGGAGGAGGAGGAGGAGGAGGAGGAGCGGCGGCCTGGGCCGCCCGGCCCCACCGGAGCGGGACAGAGGGAGGAGAGCGCGCTCGCGGCGACGACGACGAGCGCACCGGCGAGAGCCCCCAAGAGACGGCCTGGGCCGGGTTCCGATGTGGCCCGGCATCCCTGGAAAACGACCCGAGCCGCAAAAGACCGTGAGGTGACCCCTCATCATCCTCATCCTCATCCTCATCCTCATCCTCATCCTCATCCTCATCCTCATCGTCATCGTCGTCATCATCATCATCGTCATCATCATCAGCATCATCACCATCACCATCATCACCATCACCATCACCATCACCATCACCATCACCATCACCATCACCATCACCATCATCATCATCATCATCATCATCATCATCATCATCATCGTCATCGTCATCGTCATCGTTATCATCATCATCATCATCATCATCATCATCATCATCATCATCATCATCATCATCATCATCATCATCATCACCACGGACTCACCACGCGGTGTGGTCACCATACAATTCGGGGGCCTACGAAGCTGCCCCAGGACAAAGCGCCATCTCCGGAGAAGGGGTCGGGACCTCTGGGGCCGCGCACAGGAGAACCCCAGTCGTCGGATGCATGTTGGATGCTCATTTTGGGGACCCTCCTGGAGACACTTGCTCCACTCTTGCGTCGAAGCTGCGTCGGACGTTCGTCGATTTGAGTCAACCCTGAGTCGAACAGATCCGTTAGGTGGGCCCTAGGAGGGTCCCCCAAACGAGCATCGAATGTATGGGTATCTGACCCACCCTCTGAAAGTCTCGCGTTGCCACAAGCGTGCGTATTCTGGCACCGTCGGGCTGTACAGGACGAATCCAGGGAGGCCCCGGCCACCTCCCTTTTGATCGAACAGCTGCTGGAACAATGCTTCGAAAGAGAAGACGAGCTGCGAAGTGACATTTACTCCTCTGAGATACAAGACATCTGCAGATATACAGAACATCAGACCATCACGTGTTGTGGCGTTGCTTTGCCCTGCCATGAGTTGCCACATGTTACATTCCCCCACACTGTTCGCTGTGCTGATAGAAATGGGTGTACAAGTCGGGGTAGTAGAAGAATTAGTAGCAGTAGTAATCGTAGTAGTAGCAATCGTACTCGTACTCGGGTAAGTCGTAGTAATGATAATAGCAATGATTGCGGGTCGTGCTAGAAATAGCAATAGTAGTCGTGCAGTTAAAAGTGGTAGTGCTTGAAATAGAAGTAGTAATCGGAGAATTAATAATAGTAGTGGTGGTATTGGTAAACATTGCAGTAGTAGTAGCCGTAGTCGTAGTAGAGATACTGATGGTCGTCGCTGTAGTAGTAGTCGTAGTAGTAGTAGTAGTAGTAGTAGTAGTAGTAGTAGTCGTCGTGATTTTACCCGAAATAGTAATCGCAACACAGAATATTGCTGAAGTAATAGTAGTCGTAATGAACAGAATGTAGTAGTATCCGCAATAGTCGTGGTAGTAGTCGTCGTAATCGTAGGTGCCGTCGCCGTCGCCGTCGTAGTCGTAATCGTAGTTCTAGTCGTAGTATGAGTAGTAGTCGTCAGAGTAGTAGTAGCGGTAGTATTGATAGTAGTGGTAGTAATAATAGAAGCGGGGGTCGTAGTCGTAGTCGTAGTAGTAGTAGTAGTAGTAGTAGTAGTAGTAGTAGTAGGAGTCGTAGTAGTAGTAGCAGTAGTAGTAGTAGTAGTACTAGAACTAATAATACTAGTAGTAATAGTAGTAGTAGCAGTAGTAGTAGTAGTAGTAGTAGCAGTGATAATAGTAGTAATAGAAAAAAAAGTGGTAGTAATCTCGATACAACAAAAATATGAATACTCGTAGGGGTACGATCCGCCGTGATAGTAGTAGTAGTAGTAGTAGTAGTAGTAGTCGTAATAATAGTTGTAGTCGTCGTAGTAGTAGTAGTAGTAGTAGTAGTAGTAGTAGTAGTCGTAGAAATAATAATCGTAGGCGTAGTAGTAGTAGTAGTAGTAGTAGGAGGAGGAGGAGTAGTAGTAGTAGTGGTAGTGGTAGTCGTTGTAACCGTAGTATTCATAGTAGTAGAACTACTACTACTACTACTACTACTAGTTATAAGACTGGTAGTGGTTGTAGCAGTAGTAGTAGTAGTAGTAGTAGTAGTCGTACTAGTAGTAGTAGTAACCGTAGCAGCAGTAATCGGAGTAGGCACAATGCGATTCGAAGAAAGACTAGTCGTAGTCGTAGTCGAAGTCGTAGTCGTCGTAGTGGTAGTAGGAGTAGTAGTGTTATTAGTAGTAATAACAATAGTAGAAGTAGTAATAGAAGTAGTAGTCGCAGTCGGAGTAGTAAGAGTAGTAGTAGTAGTAGTAGTAGTAGTAGTAGTACTAGTAGAAGTAATGGCCGGAGTCGTAGTAGTAGTGGTAGTAGTAGTAGTCGCCGTCGTAGTCGTATTAATGGCGATAGTAAATCATGATACTAGTGGTCGCAGTAATAATACAAATCTCATAGTGGTAGTAGTAGTACTAGTCCTAGTAGTAGGAGTAATAGGAATAGTAGTAATGGTCGCACTACTAACTACAATTACTACACGTAACAGGAGCAATCTTCTTACTAGTCGCAGTAGCAGTACTGGTAGTAGTACTGTTAGTCATCGTAGTAGTAGTAGTAGTAGTAGTAGTAGTAGTAGTCGTAGTAATAGTAGTAGTAGTGGTAGAAGTAGTAGTCGTTCGTAGTAGCAGTAGTAGTAGTAGTAGTAGTAGTAGTAGTAAGGAGGAACCATACGAGTGGTAGTAGTAGTAGTAGTAGTACTAGTACTAGTAGTAGTAGTAGTAGTAGTAGTAGTAGTAGTAGTAGTAGTAGTAGTAGCAGCATTAGTAATAGTAGTGCAAATCGTAATCGTATTAGTAGCCGTCGCCGTCGTAATACTAATAGGTGTGGCAAAAGTAAACAACTAATAGTAAGGGGAAAGGTCATACACATCGCATCCGTAATAATAATAGCAGGCGTCGTCGTAGTAGTAGTAAGTGTGCTTATACTCGTAGGCGTAATCGTAGTAGTAGTGGTGCTACTAGTAGTCGTAGTTGTAGTCGTAGGAGTAGGAGTAGTAGAAGGAGTAGTAGTGGTGGTACTAGTAGTAGTAGTAGTAGTAGTAGTAGTAGTAGTAGTAGTAGTAGTAGTAGTAGTAGTAGACGTAGAAGTAGTAGTCGTCGTCGTCGTCGTAGTCATATTGGTAGTAGCAGTACTACCAGCAGTCGTAGTAGTAGTAGTAGTAGTAGTAGAAGTAGTAGTAGTAGTAGTAGTAGTAGTAGTAGTAGTAGTAGTAGTAGTAGTAGTAGTAGTAGTAGTGGTATTAGTAGTAGTAGTAGTAGTAGTAGTAGTAGTAGTAGTAGTAGTGGTAGTAGTAGCAGGAGTCGTAGTCTGATTAGTAGTCGTAGTAGTCGTAGTGGTAGGAGTAGTAGTCGTAGAAGTGATAGAAGTAGTAGTAGTGGTAGTAGTAGTAGTAGTAGTAGTAGTAGTAGTAGTAGTCGTAGTAGTAGTAGTAGTAGTAGTAATAGTAGTAGTAGTAGTAGTAGTAGTCGTCGTAGTCGTAGTAATCGTAATCGTAATAGTAGTAGTAGTGGTCGTCG